AGAGGCTAGGTGGCAGGGGGTGCTGTAGCCTACTGTGGAAGCCACTTAGCCTGATCACGGCTCAGCTTCTCCCCCTCCACACCTGCTCAGAAACAGCCAGCTGGCTGAAAAGATCCAAACTGCATTCATTTCCCCCCGTGGGGGGCCAGTGAGAGGGACTGTGCCCCCTCCTCACCGGTGCCAAGGGGCACTGGGGACACTGTCCTGCAGGATGGGTCTTGCTTGGAGCATCGCAATCCCCAATCACTGCCTAGTTTCTCCCTTCCCCTTCCGCTCACAAAGTGTTCCCAGTGCCCCATGGCACTGGCAGGGAGGTGGCACAGTCTCCGAGCCCCCCACAGGGGGGAGTGAGTGCCAGCTGGCTTTACGAGCTGGCTGTTTCCAGGCGGGCAGGGGAGCAAACATGTCCTCCCCCTCTCTTCTTCACTGCATAGTGGGAAGACTTTCTGCCTTCTCCCTGTGGCAGACCAAGGGCATGGCACTTATTCCTTGCAGAGAACTGTATATAGAAGTTCCCTACAGTGCTTCATTTACTATGTGATTTGACAGGGATTAATTTTTCATGTGACTGGGCATTTTAAATGCATTCTATAGCCATTACACAGCCTTTAGAACACTTTCAGGGGCCTGATAGCATGAAAAATATAACTTGTCTGCACCCCACGAGCCTTGTTGCACAACATACTTAGCACACGTTTTATTTGGACTGTAGTAAGCATATCCATGTCATATTAAAAGTTAAAACATATTTTGAGCAGTTGCACAATGATGTTTAATATGGTCTCTAACATAGCTCACTGATTGTCCATCCCCGCCACTGCACCACACTGGAGTCTTGAACCAGCTCAGGTGCGTTGCTGGGCCTGGGACTGACAGTTGATTATGAGTCCCAAACCAGGCATGGCAGGACTGGTTCATGACTCTGGGGAAGTGCTGAGGCTGGGACTGACAGTCAGCCGATTGCGAGTCCCAGCCCCCGCACTCCATGAGAGCTGGTTCAGGACTCCAGTGTGGTGCTGGGGCTGGGACTGATGGTGCCAGCTTAGTACAGCAGAGGTGTTCTTGGCAGATGTCATGGCTAGGTGAGGACAGCAAATTGTATTATTTCCATGGAACAGTCTGATGATAGCTGAACATATGTTACTTATTACCATCTAAAGATAACTCCTTGCATGAAAAGTCCTAACTTTGCTCTGATACAATTGCACTTAGTATGTTTATTGTTGAATGTGCGGCCACTTATGTGTTAACTGCACTTAAAACATCTTGAGTGTATCATGTAGCAAGGCCCTAAGAAACTGATATTATAGTCTCTTGCCAGGAGATGGAGACAATAAATCAATGTGCTCTATAATTTCATTTTTCTGTCAGAGACCTGCCCATCTTGCTTTCTTTAATCAACTGGTTGGACAGCTTTTTTAAATCAGATTGACCAGAGTATTTAATTATCTCAGTTTCGTTCTTAATATTTTGCCCCTGTTCTTCTGAAATTTTCAGGTTAAATTTTCATATTTTAGGTGTTTTTCCATTAAGTTTTTTTTTCTGTCTTTCCTCTTTTTCTTTTGAAAAATTCTAAGGAGCCCCCACTGACGCAGTCAGGAGGCTATATGGCTGATATAATACATATTGAAATGCAAGTAAATTCATCTGCAAATTCTTTCCTTCAGTAAAAACATATTTCTGGTTTAAATCTATATAAAATAACAAAGTATTTTTTTGTATACTATAAAACAAAATTGCAAACTTCCTTGAAGCAATGCAATGAACAAAGTTCTCTAACTTGCATGTCTTATGAAAATTTTGCCTAAGTCTGTTGGGCAAGTCAGATTTTGAGCTTTTAATTTTTTTTGCATTACAATGTTGCATATTAGCAAAGTTAAGTCATAATTTATTTCCTTTATCAGAAACTGATCACCCATGAGAGGTTTGAAAGTGCATGTGAGGAATTGAATAATGCATTACATCGAGAGCAGCAGGCACAAATGCTTTTGAACGAGCAGGCACAACAGCTGCAAGAGTTAAATTACAAACTAGAATTGCACTCCAGAGAAGAAGCAGACAAAAACCAAATCCTGAGTGAAGCTGTAAAGGTAAGCTTTTAAAATGGAGGCTAGAAGTTGTGTTCACTTAATTAGATCAGAGCATTCATGTAGTTTTCTCATGAATAATCCTATGAAAGTAAATTAATGTATGAAAATTACTCAATCCAGAGCTTCCTGAAGTTGCTCAGGTGATACTTTGGCACCTTTTAGGATAAGGTTTTCTTGGTAAATTCCATCTTGACATTAGAAGTGACCCATGTACACTAAGAAATACTATCATTATTTATTAAGGCATTGGTGATGAACTTGATGCTGTAGAATTCATATTGATAGTTCCTGTGTTGAGGAGCTTGTTTAAAAAATAGATATAATAAGACAAAATAGAAGACTTGGATGTGAGGTAGTTAATGTAGATTTTAAAAAATAACTATTCTATTCATACTCCTTTTTTCTTGAATGTGTTGTTAATGCATGAAAGCATAAATACCACAAGTGTCAAACTCACCTGGGGCCCCAGGTTGCATGTGGCCCAGGCCAGGCAGCTGCGGGGCAACTGAGGGCTGTGTTTGCACAGCCCCCAGTCCCCTCCCCCTCACCAAAACCTTGTTACCTAGGGCCAAGTCCCTTGGGGTCCTGGATTCAGCAGCTTACCACTGGCTGTGCCCCCAACTCTGAACTGCTGGTAGGCTGGCCGGAGCAGTCACATGGGGGCTGAATGAGAAGAAGGAAGAGAAAAAGCCTGTTTCATTAGGATTTTAAAGTTTTTATATGCATAACGGGTAATGAAGGACATGGAAAGGAAACAATTTCAATAGAAAGGAGATGCAATCAGAAACTAGGTAATCCCTGTAGCACCTTCAAGTTTTAATACACATTACCACAAGGCCAATAACACATGGCTGTTTAGAGCATGTTTTTTTAAAAGACATCCAGTCTCTATTTAAAGAATTCTGGGTGATAGTGAATGTTATCACTTTTCTAATGTCAGATGTAGGCTAGAGTGACCTGAACAAGGCTATATAATTAACATTTTTTCCCTTCACGTTAGTTATGCTGGACAAGGAAGTGCCAGTAGATGTATTTAGAAAGAAGAGCCAGTATATCTATTCAGAGAGGTCTTGTTAGTTTTAGCAATTACATTTTGCACAAACTGAAGTTGCAGGGTTCAGCCAACAGCTGAGAAAGGATGTTAGTCCTTCAACCCTTGGAAAGAAAGAAGGGAAAAGATCTATTGAAACCCTTAGGTTTATATTGGGCCACCTTTAACCCAGAGTGCCAGGGAAAATAGAGGTATCATTGTCAAAGTTTCAGGTATAAAGGAGGAAGTAGAAAAAGTCAAGGAAAAGAAACAATGTTTGGGATAGTAGGTAACCTTGAGTTAACAGTAAGTGATCCAGGATATGGTGCAGGTGTATACAATTGGAGTTGGACAAATCATAGACTGGGAAGCTGCAGATTTGAGAGTTACTGACATAAAAATGATAGTTGGATAAAACAGGTGCTAAAGTACTTTACAAGGTAAGTGAGGAGACAACCAACAAACAATTGTGAGAATCCATCAAAAAAAGGAATAAAAATAGAAGAGAAAAGCCAAAAGGCAGATTTCATTTTTTTTTTTCTGTCTGCCAAAAAAAAAAAAGAGAGAATGGTGGGGTATCAGGGAGGAGAATATGATCAACAGTATTAATTCTAGCAGAGAGGCCAAGAAAGATGAACGTGGAACAGAGACCCAAAAAATTTGATAAAAAATAAATGAATGGAAATAAGCACATTCATTTTCTTTTACTGAAATATCTTTAGATTATTAAAGGTGAACAGCATTGAAAATGATGGCAAATTAAATTCTCTTTCCTATCTAGGGGTTGCTCCATGACAACTCTCTATATGTTTGCTATTACTTCAGCTTATCTGGAAGGTGAACCATGGTTGCCTACTCCTCAATGAAATGGTAGTAGGCTACTGCAATTTAATTTTTGCTTAGTGTGGGGTAACTGTAGACACAGGGACTGGTAATGTGGAGCACTTGATAGATATAGATTCTGTGCCTCCTTTAAACTTACATTAGGTTGTTTTTTCCATTGCCTTCAAATTTTCACGGTGGATTATACAGAACTAGTATAGTACTAGGGAGGGAAGGAAACTTTTTATATGAAATGCCTTGTATTTTATGTTCAAATTGAATTTATTTTTAAAAATGTTAACTAGGGCCATCAACTAATCGCAGTTAACACATGCAATTAATGCATTAATTGGTTCATATATTAATTTTTTTAATGAATTAATCATGAATGTGGCTTTGGAGCCTGCACCCAGGCTCCGTTCCACTGCCATCACCTCTCCAGGCCTCCCAGTGGGGCAGCAGTGGCAGTGCAGAGGAGCAGCAGGGCAGCTCAGGCATGGGCTCTGGGCAGCTGTAGCATGGGCCAGGAGGAGGTGTGCAGACTCAGACTGACTAAGAGTAGATTCAGGCTAGGTAACGGGAGGCACTACTTCACAGTCAGGGTGGCTAGGATCTGGAACCGACTTCCAAGGGAAGTGATGCTCACTTCTACCCTGGGGGGTCTTCAAAAGGAGGCTAGATAATCACCTAGCCAGGGTCGTTTGACCCCAGCATTCTTTCCTGCCCATGGCAGGGGGTCAGACTTGATGATCTGCTCAGGTCCCTTCCGACCCTACCAACTATGAAACTACGAGATACACATGTGTAGCTGCAGCTTGTACGTGGCCAGGAACACAGCCCAGTGGCATGTAGAGCAGCACCCAGAAGGTAGGTCTGTGGGGGGAAAGGGCAGGGGGTCAGAACAAGGCCCCCAAAGTGAGAGACTGAGTGGGGCAGAGGCAGGCACTGGGATGAATGGGGCCCTGGGTCCAGGGTGGGCTGTGGGAAGGGGCATGGGGTAGGGTGACTCCCTGACACTGCATGCACCCAGATTTGTGCATGGGGCAGAGGTGGGCTGTGGGCTGAGGCTCTGCACCCTGCTGCCTTTGTCCCTGGAGCCACATGACACCATGTTGTGCTTCCCACTGCCAGGCGGCCAGGGGACGTGCAACCAGTGTGCAGCTCCTGGGGCAAAGGCAGGAGGGCGCAGAGCCCCAGCCTGCAGTGGGCAGCCTACCTCTGCCCTGCACACAAATCAGGGGGGCACATGTCCCCCATGCCACCCCTGGCAGTGTGCGCAGCAGCAGGGAGCCACCCCTCCACCCCCATAACCCTGGATGAGCCACCCGCAGCTGTGTTCCATGTCCTGTCCTGGCCCCAGGGCCCCATTCACCCCAGTGCCCACCCTTGCCCTGCTCCACTTCCTTCCTCACCATGGGGACCTCAATCTGCAACCCCCTACTCCTTCCCTCAACAGGCTTGACTACTGGGCTCTGTCTGCCCCTCACTCCCAAGCCATAGCCCCCCAGCCCTGCTGCTGCCCCTTACTCCTAACCACAGTACCCTGCACCCTGCCAGGGTGTGCATGGCCCCCCCCAGGCTCCAAACTCCACACACAGCCACAGCCCCCCACACCTTCACAAATCTCCATGCACCCCCACAACCATACAAAGTACTTGCATAGTTTTGAGTTTTTCTGCACATCATTTTGAGTTCTTAGCTGTGCAATTAAAACCACGATTACCTGTGACTTATTTTTTTAATTGCTCAACTTATCATGATCAAATTTGTTATTTGTTTAACAACCTTAAATTTAACATGTACTTTATTTGTCATAAGTTTCTTTCCAAGTTTCCCATATATATTTTGAATTTGTTACAGGTGGAATGAGTGCCTGCTTGTGACCTAGCTATTAGGGCTGTGCGAAACAGGCCTTGTTTGATTCCGATTTGGCCCGAATCAGGAACAGTGATTTGATTCATTGATTTGGATCACTGTCCTTGATTCGATTTGGCCGAATCTGAATCTGACGATTTGATGCTGATTCAGTGAATCAGCGATTGGACGCAGGCACAGCTTTCAGAGTTTTTCCTGCATACCTTGAGGTAGCAGCGCAGCTTGTGACCACTGCGGTGCTGGGGCGGATGGAGCATCCCACAGCAGTGTGGGGGGGCACTCCAGTGTGCTCAGCAGTGAACCCGAAAGTGGACCGGAAATACTTCTGGTCCACTTCCAGTTCTGCCAGGGAGCTCACAGGGGGACCCCTCACGCACCCCCAACTTGGCAGTCAGCTGCAGAGGGAGACCGCGGGTGCCTCCCTCCAGACCCAGGAGGTACCAGTTGCCTAGCCAGGGGGTGTGGGGGGAATTCTGGGTCTGCTTCCAAGTGTGCTGGGGAGCCCCCCATGCATTTGCCCCAGCACTACAGCATTCAGAGCCCCTGCTACCTAGAGATATGTAGAAAAAACATTTAAAGCTGTATCTACATCCAAATGGTCAAATCTGTCTGAATCTCTCCAAATCAATTCGGAGAGATTAAAGGGTCCTCTGATTCATTTGGATTCGGAGATTCGGCCACCAAATTGGGTCGAATCTCTGCCGAATTGAATTAGGAACCAAAGCTTCGCACAGCCCTCCTAGCTATCTTAATTGCCGGTAGTCTGTCTTTTTCAGCTGCTTAGAGTCAAACAGTAACTACAAAATAATTCTTTTCATACTTCTTCATTTGCAAATTCTGAGACAGTTCCAGCACTTTGGTAATTAAATACAGGCCTTTCCAAGACAAAGCATTTTTCAGTTTGACATCATTTTTAAACTCCCTAAATTTAAAAAAAGTAAATAAAAATCACATTCACATGAAAGATATGTAACAAAAATCATGGCTTGCTTTGCATTCCAAATGCAAAAATTAGTTAAAAATAAGCCCAGTGTAATAGCATCTGCAAAATTACAAAAATTAATATATGAAAAGTTGATATATTTTATTTTAAATTTTTTCACCTGGGCAAAAATATGATCTCGAAATTTTAAAAGCTAGAAGAAAAGTAAAAAGTTTACACTGAAGTATTTTTAAAAAACAGTTACCTTAAATATCAATTTCATTCACATTTTTCTAAATAAAAGAAAAAAATGTTTAACATTTCCACACTTGATACCATAGTTTGAAATCT